ACTGCAGTTTCTGTGGTGTTAGCTTTTTCTTTTCACTACCATATGCTCGAATCACTTACACACCAAATGACACGATATCTCATATAGTAATGCGTAACACAAGCGATTAATTATTATAATTTATTTATCACATTTGTTATGATATATGTAAATACATTATGTTGTTACAAGTAGCAGGTTGTTGAATAAATGGTGACAAATAAATTATATACATTGATCGTTTGCGTTCCGGCATTACTATATGAGATATTGTGTGATCTGGTGTATCAGTGATTCAATTATATTCTAGTGAAAACAAAAAGGTAACACCAAGAAACTACACTGAAGTGTTGTGGTATGGGATCGAACCAGCAACCTTCTTCCTGTTGGACGAGTGCCGAGTTACAGAGAGGAGTGGGGACACACAACGATTGCCACGGTGTAGTTTGAGCCGCAGAATCACAGAGAGGGCGAGGGGGCGGGGATGGAGCCGTTTCCATGCTGGCAGTGAGAGCCCTTGCCGGCTAGTCACGCTCATTTGGGTCCGCGGAAGTCAACCTGTTGGTCGAATTAAGTGATGAAATAAAAGACTAATGTTTGGAATAGTAAAGCGCTGTGGTTTCGGTTCAAACTATTTCTGGCCGAAGAAGAAAAGTTGTTCTAAAATGCACCCAAATAATTTTAGAAGTAAACTTTGAAATATATCTTTCTTACCTTTTTTTGCACTTATGATGTCCCAATGTCCGAAATATATAAATATAAGAAATGAGTAGTAAGCTAAAACTTGACAGACGGGAGTTAAACCCACATTTAACCCATGCCGGAGGGCGCGTGCTACCCTGGCCTTAGAGGTGTAATACTGGCATAAACTTTAAGCTATGTGCTTGACTTGGTTCAACTCTTACAGGGCCGTGGATGCACAGCCTCTGCGTCTCTAACTGGCAATTCTGGACGGTCCACCTCTCCTTTTCGTCTGTACCTCTAGCCACCAGTGGTGCTGCGTCTAACAAGTAAGCTGTACGCTGTTGCATCAAACAATGGCACGCTAGTGGTTAGAGATGCGTAGGAGGTGGAGCAGACCGTGCAACGTTGCCAGTTAGAGATGCAGAGGTCGTATGTGCACGGCCTCGAGCAAACCTGTTTGATTACGGTTGCTGATAAATACGATAGGATATATCAGGGAAAAAGCGGTGGCGAAGCGGTAGCCTCTAGAACAGAATGTTGATATTGTAGTGAATACGACTCGAATAGTCACAGTTGTAAGGTTATCGAGTTCATCAGTCTGTTGAACGATCATTCGGCGGTGCTTATCATTATGTTGGGTAGTAGAGACAATTACAGACTCGCTTTTCTCTTATTTATCGGAGGTGATTTAGTGCATATATGCCTTTACGATGACTTGTGGTGGCCTACCGATGTATCGAGTCAGTGCTGACTATCGTCCCAGACAATCCTGCTACAAGCCTGGTACCAAGTTATCGACTCTCATGAGCGCTAGATTGAACCATGGACCTTTTGAGCGACGCGGAGCACTTTTAGCCATTGGTCCACATGGGCTCCTTTCTCCATGATAATACAGATTAAGGAGAGACTTGCACAGATAACGATTTGGTGATAATGCCAATTAATGAATTAACAGAATGAAAAACCTTAGCTACGTCAGTAACTCTACTATCCTTGTTTCTAATGGAACACTGCCGTCAAAAGTCTTTAACATGTAGCTAATCCTGATATTTGTCGAGTAATATAGATTAGTAAAGTAGAATTTTAGCCTTCCATCCATTCATGCATGCCCAACAACAGGCCACTGATGACTGATTTAACGACAAGAAGTCAAAGGATCCCCTATTTAGCCCTTGCGGGATCATGAAAGCAACCCCTGCATCTCTGAAATCCAGCGTCTTGCGTCTAACAATGGCGTTTCACCTCAGCGAGCGGCGTGAAACAGTGACACGCTGAGGTAAGACGCCATTGCTAGACACAGCACGCTGCTATTAGACGCCATTGTTCGAAGACGCAACACTGTCCATTGTTAGACGCAACAAACTGGTGGTCAAAGACGCAGAGAGTCGGTCCGTGGCCTCGTAAGGGTTAGAACTTTATCGTTTCTGGAGCACAATGAGATGGCAGTTTTTTGAGAAAAACTGAAATATGTCTGCTAGTACTGATTGTCCTGCGTATCAGTCTATAATCGCGTGATTTCCAATGAAACACTACAACACGTTTTGAATCTCATAAAACCTCTATAGGATATATGTATATATATATATATATATATATATATATATATATTTCTAAGAGAATTGAGTGATGAACAAAAATATGGCCTCAGGCGGTAATCGAACCCGCGTTCCATCCTATCCGGGTTCGCTCCTCGCCTGAGGTCACGTTTGTCCGCACCACTCAGTCATCTTAGGAATATACGAATAATGATAACACTTCGAAAAATGCAGTGAAATTCTTGAAATTTGGAATATTGGTTATCACAATGGCTATCAACTCAACTGGGTTTATAAAGCGAAATCGCACACCCGACCAAACCTGTTTAAGGTTGGTGGCTGATAGCTAACATAGAGATGTTGAAAAATGAGTGGTCGGGCAAGTGTGCCGATATTCCTAAGAGCATTGAGTGGTGAGCAAAAAACATGGCCTCAGCTGGGAATCGAACCCACGTCTCATCCCATCCTGTGACGCCTTCTCTACCACTACACCACAATGGCACACTTGCCCGACCACTTATTCTTCAACATTTCAATGTTAGCTATCAGCCACCAATATTTAACAAGTTTGGTCGGGTATGCGATTTTGCTTTACAAACCCACTTGATCTGACAGTCACTATTAGATCTAATACTCCAAAAATTCTAGTGTTTTACTGCTTTTTTAGCAGTATTGCGACGTTACATGAAGATGTTGAAGAATGTCAGCTCAACTAGGTTTGTAAAGCAATATCGTATACCCGCCAAACCTGTTAACCGTTATAGCGTTAAAAAAGTGCAGGGTAAAACGAGCGCCGCTGGCGCAACGGTTAGCATACGCTCCAGGAAAGAGTGATATCTGGGTTTCGAATCCCGGTTGACGCAACTGTTTTTCGCACAGCATTCTACATTATCGGGTATATATCAGTAATGTTGGGAGATATGCAAAACTCTGAATGTCAGATAAGAAAAACCCGCACTTTATGCTTTCCGAAGGTGCATGCTAACCACTCGCATGATGGCAATCCCCGTTCGGCCCATCGCTGTTTTTCTGAAGACACAAGGCATCGATTTGTCATCAAGCAAACCGTCACTGGTTTGGATTGAGTAGCGAATGCCCGGAAAGTGTAAGATGCAAGCTCCATTTCCGTCTTGCGTTCAAATTTTTGAATATCACTCAATATTGGCATGGAATTTTTTGACCCCTGATGAATTAAGGCGCACTGAACACTGGGCGTGGAATAGGATAAGCCATCGTTCCAGTGCGTATTGTATGGCAACCTCTAACCTGCACTACAACGACATTCTAACGTAACAAAATGAATTACTAATAACTCGGTTATCACTATTTTTCTTTGGGGAAATCTGAAGCATCCCACGCACTGGACCCATCGCTTAACGTCGGTAAACAAGTCAGGTAGTGCTATTCAAAGACCGAGCGCACTGGTCTCCGGTCCGACCGCGCCTTGGATCAACTCGTAACCCGTCCTACTAGCGTCCAGACCTCTCTGTGAATGATTCACTTGATTCAGGAAAGCTGACGGCTATTCGTTACGAAGACCTGGTAAGCACCTAGTATAACTACAACTGATATTCCAGAATGATCTATCCAATCACCATCCATTATCTTCACAGAAAAAGACTAAAATCTCCTAAATGCAGCCGATTGCTCAGATGCGAGGTTCTTCGCAAAGGCGTGGGTGCAATGAGAAGGAATCGAATGAAAGAAGTATTGAGATTCTTACTACATGGACTTCGGGACTCTACTACATCATTAAACGTTTATATAACTAAAGAGAATTGAGTGGTGAGCAAAAACACGACTCAGGCGGGAATCGAAACCCACGTTTACATATCCTATCCGGGGTCGCGTGCTCCACCACTACACCACTGAGGCACATTTGCCCAACCACTCATTCTTCTACATCTCAATGTTTAGCTATCAGCCACCAAACTTTTAACAGGTTGGTCGGAATGCGATTTCGCTTTATAAATCCCGCTAAGCTGACAGCCACTGTTATATCTAATACTTCGAAATTATAATATTTCTACTGCTTTTTTTATGTTGAAGAATGAGTGGTCGGCAAATGTGCCTCAGTGGTGTAGTGGTAGAGCACGCGTCCCGGATAGAACGAAAACGTGGGTTCGATTCACCGCCTGAGGCCGTGTTTCTGCTCACCACTCAATTCTCTTACTTATATAAGTAACATCATAACACTGCGAAAAAAAAGCAAGTAGAGATACTGTAATTTTCATTAACGTTTTTCAATCAGGTCATGTCAGGAGCACTAACTCTCTACGCATAGTCTAACAGATTGTTCTAAACCTATCAAGAGGTGTCTAGTATGACATCTCGAGTGGCAGACGCACGTCTCGGCTTTCTCGCCGACCTCATCAGCAGTAGCACATGCCTTTCGCTTCACCTCTACAACTAATGGCAACGGCAACCGAACATGTATCACTTCCCACGTCAAGTGAAAGACCCACTTAACCTTGCGGTCCAGCGATTTTCAGTCGTTGGCTCACGACTAGTGGAAATTTTTTAGCGACGTCTCAAAATGCTAACAACATAGAACCCTTACCTATAAGGAACCGTAATACGCCTTCCGCAGACTTATAAATCTGGGAGCCGTCTCCTCCGGCCAAAATGTTTCTAACAATGAAATACACTTCCTTAGTACACTTTATTATGTTCTTTCCACGATTTTTTTGTGCACTGACCGGATTTTCCATACTTCTAGCATGCAATTGCCTTTTTTCTCACCGTACGCCTAAACGTATTACAATACTGGTTGTGTGTCTTTTTGCAATTCTCGAGGATAGCCTGGCTGTGGCGTTCAACAAGGCGTTTCGTTGCTGACGTGCCAGAGAGTGTGGGAGAGCGGGGGCCCGGCCCGCGAGCGCCGCAACCAAACATCGCAACCCACTCGACCACGGTGCGCTCGAGACAATGACATGAAAAAATTATGTTTGCTCATGGCATCTTTGAGCATTCATAACACATGTTTGAGTCCTGTATGAGGTTGATGTGGGCACTAATACG